TATATATATACATTTATTCTACATTTTTATAAATACAAATATTAAACAATTTCATCTTATTTCTTACCTTACTTTATAAGGGGCTGTTCATACTAGAGCTTCTTTTCAGGGGGCGATGGGGGGGGGGAGCGTAGGGCTAATTATAACTTTCCTATACGAAGCAACTATGTACTATAGTAAGATGTATATAAGGTATTTTTTGTTTGTAAATAAATAACCCCCTTCTCTAAAATTAGTTTGCTTGATTAAGGTTCTGTAGGTTGTTGAATAAAAAGTCTGAGCATCTAAATTTTACTACCCAGTGGCATATACATTGAGTCAACATTCCTGATCCAATAGGCTGCCTGAACTGCGTGACCTACAGATTTTCTCCCATAAAACTACTATAAAACTCGTGGCATGAACCCTGCAGGGGTAAAAAAGGATTGAATTCAAAGTCTTAAGCTCCTTTATCGAAATAAGTATGAAAAAAATTTTTGTTTGCTATGAAATTCAAAATGTCGGCGATAATACGTGACCAACAGCTTTTTTTCAAGAAAACTACAATAAATGTTGCAGCATAGTACCTACAGAGGTCTTTAAAGACTTTAATAAGAAGTATTGAGCTCTTCTATTAAAAGATATATAAAAGATTTTTTTTTTGTCTGCCATAAAATCAAAAATGGCCGTAAAAACATGTGACCTGCGGGTTTTTTGCAATCAAACTACTAAGAAACTCACGGTATTAGCCTTAAAGCAGTTTGAAGAGGCTTATTTAAAAAGTTTTTTTATGCTAGCGTTTTATCTCGTGACTTGAATTTCAAAAGCTACAAATTAAAAAACTACCAGGTATTAAACTTTAAGTTTTCAATTAAACGGCATAATTTGCCTGGATGGTGCGACTTTGTTTATAAATCACCAGAAACGGATTGATTTTAAAAAAAAACATTAAAGAGGCTTTTATTTTATGAAGAATATATTTACCAAAGAAAAATAACTACAAAACAACATTCTATAAAAGACGACTTGAGTTTTAAAAGGCTAGTGCAAACCGTTTAAGTCTGTTGAGAAATGGACCGCAACGAAACGACGAGTTTGAGTCATTCGTGTGCAAAGTGCATCAACAAATGAGCTTTTCTTTTAGTGCTTAAAATTTACAAAATAGATAATCTTTTTAAAAAAAGGAAAGAATAAAAACTACAAAACAACATTCTATAAAAGACGACTTGAGTTTTAAAAGGCTAGTGCAAACCGTTTAAGTCTGTTGAGAAATGGACCGCAACGAAACGACGAGTTTGAGTCATTCGTGTGCAAAGTGCATCAACAAATGAGCTTTTCTTTTAGTGCTTAAAATTTACAAAATAGATAATCTTTTTAAAAAAAGGAAAGAATAAAAACAATGAAAAAAAGAGCGATCTTGCAACACCAAGTGGAGAGTTAATTCTCTTCAAAAGGCTGCTGCTACTGCTGCTAACTGCACGATTTTGGCAGGAATTGAAAATTGCCAACTAGGACTCGAAGTGAAGAAGGAGCTGCTTTTTATCGCGTGCTGACTGTTCGTAATCTGGAAGGCTTGAAAGCGAGAGCATTATTCGTGATGGACGAAACAGTGCTGATATTTCGCAATTGAGAATTAGACAATAGGCACTCATAGGCAAGAGAATCAATTACGCCCACCTTTAGGTCTGTGAGCTCTTCCCTCAAGTACAGTCCCTTCTTAGCTCTTGAGCAAACTGTGCGCAGCATCCAAACAAAGAATTCTTTTTGCTTTAGCTATTCAAATCTTAAAAAAACGCCTTAGCTCTTTTATCAAAAGATATACAAGAATATTCTCTGTCTGCTATAAAATGCAAAATGGTAGCAATAACACGTGATCTACAGCTTTTTCACAATAAAACTACTAAGAAGCTCATGGCATAAGCCCTACAGAGATCTTAAAAGACTGAAATGTGAAGTTTTAAGCTCTTCTATCAAAAGTTGTAGAATAAAAATTTTCAGTCTGCTACACAATCCAGAATGGTGGCAAAAAGACGTGATCTACGAATTTTTTACAGTAAAAGTACTATAAATCTTGCCCTACAGGGATCTACAAAAGCGTGAATAAGACTTCGTAAGCATATGTATTAAACATCGTATAGAAAAATTATTTTGTCTTATATGAACTGTAAAATAACGCCAAAGCACGTGATTTACATCTTTTTTTAGTGAACTGTAAATCTCGGAACATAAACCCTACAGGGGTTCACAAAAAATTTTTATAAGCCATGCTTCTATTGGTCAACAAAACAACTCGATTATTAAAGGACATTCGGATTCGCGTGATAGCACCGAACTATTGTATGAATAAAATAGTATTCCTTAAAATTTACTAATCATCATTTATAAACTGTTCCTGATTTCATGATTAAAAACATAAGTTTTATTTTTTACGATTATAAAAATATCTGACAACAGTTATTGAGTTGGTCAAGGAATTTAAAATGTAATTTGTTTTTGGCTATGATTTTGTTCGAAAGTCCATTAAATACTAATTTTTGTTTTGAATAATCTTGTACATTTCTCCTCTGCCACTATACATCCAAATAAACCTTAAAAAAATAATTGTTGAAATGCGTTTCGTACCGAAAATACTAGTATAACCTTATTAATGCCACCACATTGACAATGAATAATATATAAAATCATAAAACTAGACCCTACTCTAAAAATACATCTATTTGTTCGTACTATAGCTTTAATACGTCAGTGCAGAACTAACAACATGTCAAGTTTGAAGCCACAGCAATTATGTTTTTTCAAAGCTTACATTATTATCATACGTGATAAATGATTATTGCTGCTTCATTTTTATTTTACAATTTTTCAAAAATACTCGTATGTCACATATTTGGACGCCACTTCTAATTCTTAGTTTAACAAAGACTTTTTTCACACTGATTTCTGGGAATAAAACTAAGAATTGTCATTTAAACTTCTGTAAACCCCAGTCGGGTAAATGCAGCACACTTATAAACATCAGGTGGGGATCACGTGTTTTGCCACAGTTTTGGATTGTACAGCTAACAAGAAATACAGTCTTTGATGTATTAGCTCAAGACCTCTTATTTAAGATTTGTAGATCTTTGTACGGTATCTGCTACGAGACTTATAGTAGCTTAATTTAAAAAAACTGTTGATCACGTCTTTCTACCAACATTTTGGATTGTATAGAAGACAAAAAAAATGTAATGTTACTTCTTTCCATAGAAGAGCTATAGACCTTACATTTAGGCCTTTTTAGACCCCTGTAGGGATTATACCATCAGTTTCTTAGTAGTTTAATTTAAAAAAAAACGCAGGTCACATGTTTTTACCGCCATTTTACATTTTATGGCAGACAAAGAAATTTCTTTTATACACTTTTTGATAGAAAAACTCAAGACTTTTTGTTTAAGTCTTCTTATACCCTTGTAGGGTTCATGCTGTGAGATTTATTGTAGTTTTCTTGGAAAAAAGGTGTTGGTCACATGTTATTGCCACCCTTTTGGATTTTATAGCAGCCAAAAAATTTTTTTCATAGAACATTTAATAGAGGAGCTTAAAACTTTTTATGAAAGCTTTTTGGACACCTGTAAGATTTATGCTGCGAGGTTTATAGTAGCTTTCTTGAAAAAAAGCTGTTGATCACGTGCTATTGCCACCATTTTGTATTTTATGGCAGACAAAAAAATTTATTTCATACACCTTTTCATATAAAAGCTTAGGACTTTCTACTAAGGCGTTTTTTGACCCTTGCAGAGTCTATGCCACGAGATTTATAGTAGTTTTATTAAAAAAAATATTCAGGTCACGTGGTTCAAGCAGCCATATTGGATCATAAATGTTGACTTAATGTATATGCCACTTGGCATTAAAAACTAGATGCTCAGATCTTTTTTCTGACTACCTATAGAACTTTACTTAATTAAACCTATTTTGGAGCAGGGGGTCATTCGTTTACAAAGAATATACAAAATAAAGATATATACGTATAAATATAAAGATATGTAAATACGTATATGTTTATGTATTTATTTTGATCAATGGCGCTTTATGCGGACATTATTATGTCAAAAAATGATAATATATGGACAAAATATATGAATAAATCTTATAATTGTACAGCGTTGTTTCGTGTGGAAAAGTCACAACCCCCCCCTCGCCCCCAACGTGACCCCCCAGAGCCACTCAAAAGAAACTTTAATATTAATAGCCCCCGTAAAAAATAAAGTGCAATTTGATTACTTT